CTCAAGTCTACCGGCAAGGATAAGTTGTATTTTCGTAGAACGGGATGCATTTGCTCCTCCGCATTGGCTTCATTCATGCCCTTCATGCGTTCAACAACAGGGCATTTGGCAACCCTGCTAGAAGACCCAGCGGCGTCGTCCCAGGCTTTCTTGGCGCACTTCACCACCTCTGAGCAAGGCACCTCAGCCGGAAGAGGGCAAGTGAAAGAGAAGAGAAGAACTGATGCCTTGAAAGCAAGCTTACCTTTGGTTCAGAACCAAAAGTGCGCACATTTTTTCCGAACACAGCTGATCATACCGGTTTGAGAACCAAGTATGTAAAGAAAGGGCCTTCCCCCATTTGTCTACCATCCCCTCCTGGTCGCACATTTCGGTTCCCAGGTGTCTCTTGGTGAGGCTCAATGAGAACAGCTTCCATCAAAGCTGCCTCTTCCCACCGACTAGAGGCAAAAAGAACATGCATGAATTTGTACCTCTCGTCGCCACAGAAGTAGCCACAAGAATTTGATGAATTAGTGGGCTTTTTGTAAAATCGGAACATAGGGTCTGCACTCACACCTATTTTGAAGACATGGGGGCCTTTCGCCAAAACGTTTGAAATCATTGATCGACAATGTTGGAGTGCGCGACCTGTGGTTGCCTTTGGCTGGGGTAATTTGAGCAAAACCCTGGGATCACTTCCCAAACCCTCCAAGATCAAAGACTTCAGCCTTCGCATTTCTCTCACTGAAGGGTTGAACAGGTTCATGATCCCCATTTCACCTGAGCAACATCTCAACCCTCAACCCGTGTTTGAGAATATAAGAACAACATCGAAAGTCAGAATGATGAGGCTAGCACTCCTTCCAGATTCGACGGGCGCTTCATCATCAGAAGGTTTGATTGCACGGCTGGTGGGCATAGGTTGGGATACCAACATTGCTGCGCCCGAAGATCTGATTCTTTTGGCCGGCTGGCCTTAGCTAACTGGGACAAACAATTGAAGACATACCCAACAAGTTGTTCTTAGCATGAGCACCGCAGCTTGAAACCAAGTGGCTGTGTTCATTTGGCTGTCGTTTTTCACCACAGAAAGGGTCACTGCCATTGCCATTTTGCAGCCGGAACCCCAACAACTCTTCCAACCACAGCACTTCTTCGGATTTCATGTTCTGAGCCATAACTCTTTCAAAACGGTTGTGAAAAAAACAGCTGTGGTCCCAGATCTCCTCAAACTGCAGGGACGCCACGTCGGCTAAGGTTGGCACCCCGGCACCAACTTGACCAGCAAGGTACTCAGCCGTTCCGCTCACAGTGGGACCTGGCCGGTTTGCAGAATCACCAAGATAAGGGAACTGTATGTTTTTGTTGCCAATGCTCCAAGTGAAGATTGCTTTTGGGTACTCTTCCTTCAATAATAAGCTTTTTGCAACCCCCAAGATTCTCTCATGTTCAGATGTGTTCAAAAAGAAACACTGGCGGGTTTCAGCCTGTGTCAATGTCTACGAATATGATCCTAAGAACAGCGCCATCAGGTGCCATGTCAAAATTAATTTATCCCCAAGTAAGAGGCATCTCCACACGCTGAAAAATCAGCATGATTAGGAGCGCTGCTTCATTACCATCTACCCCAAAAGGTTTTTCCCTTGGCGGACTGTACAGAGAGTTCCTGATCACTCCTTTGCCGCCTTTGGCTTGCGAAGAAACGGCCTAAGCCAAAGCCAGGAGCAAAGTAGCACGGTAGGTTATGCATTGGATTGCTTTGGGCCCTGAGGTTTGGGCCGGAACTTCTTCTCTGTGGCGGTCCAGGTGGTGAGACTCAGTGGGCAGAACGGCGCTGCAAGCGTGGGACATTGGTGAGTGTGAAAGAGGGATCTAAGAACTTGGCAGTTTTCTTGCATTGACGAAAGTTTCCTTCAAGGTCTTGCTGAACCTTGGGATTGTCCATGCAAAGTGCAAAATGCAGCTTTGTTCACTATCTCCACCAAACAAGAAAAGCCTAGGCACTTCTCCTCGTCAATCTTGCACTTCCCAACCTTGAGATCCCCCTGCATATCTGTGAATTGATCATAGACGTTGTTCAAGTCTTTGTGCAAGGCATCCACCGTCTTGCAAGACCTTATGAAAATTCTACACAGGGAGGTTTGAAGCAGTCCTAATGCTGGGACATAGGAAGGAATCAAAGCTAAGTGGGGCTCTCGGAAGCTCCAGCAGCTGTGCTGTTCCCAAGCTTCTCCCTGAACGAAACCACCTTGTTCAAGACTTGCAGGATCTCCTCCATGTGCTGCTCAAGCTCATTGACCTCTCATGGATGACGAAGTGGTTGTGGGAGCGGATGAGGGATGGATTGATTGAAAAACTTTCAAGTTCTTTCTTTACCCAAACCCAACCTGTGTGACTTTGGCTTCTTTCTCACTGGGGCCGTCGAATCCATGAGAGCGTAAGTCCAGTTTAGAAGGAATCACTTCTTGTTGAAACTTGTCAGTGACACCCTCTGCGGAGACCGTCTCTTTGAGCTTTGATGCTTGTCGGTTCGTGGCAGTGCCCTTGACTCTAGTGTTGGCCCAATACAAAACAATGTTCGGATCAAGCTCGTCCAGCCTAGGTTGCCCAAAATATACACCAACAAAACCCTTATATACAGAATATTTAAACACACAACTAACACTGTTCAAACAACATGTACAAGTATGCAAAGTCAGGACTCATCATGAACTCCGGGTTGTTTTGCCCACGTTCAGTGGCAGCTTTAATTTGAGTCCTGGGCGTGGGAGCAAACATTCAACCAGAACACAGAGATAATCCTTTTGCAACATTGAAAATGCATAAAAAGCAACGCAACTACTGTCAGAATACTTGCCAGGGGTCGCTGTGAACTTCAAAACATCTTTCATCTCCTTCTCTGTGTAAAAGCCCCCTTCAGTCTCCAATTGGTTGATTTGCTCAACCGATTTCTCCAACTGAACCACCTTGATAAACTGCTCCTTGAGGGGTTTGCGTGTGAGGAGGAGAATGATTACTGTGGGATCCAACTACAGTTTGTAGCAAACTGGAACATTCTACACCAGCTGACCAGTCAGTCCTTTTCCCCACCAGTTTTGATAAACGCCTCAAACAACTTCTCCCGTGTAGCCCCCTTGGCTTGATACTTCTCAAAGACATCTTTAGGAACCTCGATGTTCCCTGAAGCCCTCTTCGGCTCACACATTCTTCGGAACTTGCCCTTCCAATACTCAACCTGCTCTTGGTCAAGCATGACCCCGGCGATCGACCTCTTGGTACCACCTTTTGCAACCTTAGAGCGCCCCACCAACAGAAAAGACCATGATATGGATTATATACAGTGAGTAAAGGATGCAGGCGCCCCCCCAAAATAAACTATACTATAATTCATTCTCAAGTACATTGCCCGTAACTCCCGGCGACGGCGACGATGACTGGGAGGAGGTTGGCGGCGGCGTCAGTGAGGAATTTGGCTGAGATGTCGGGGTGCTCAAATCCTGACCGACGTGCCGGGCCACATTGACAAAAGTTCATTGAAAGGGGTTACCGACAAAAACTTGGCAGAATGAAAAACATACTCTTCAAGTTGATTGGAATGAGCTTCTCCATCAGAAGTTCCACCCTTTGCTTGTTCAGGGGAAGTGAGCTCGCCCCGAAAGATCTGATAGGGATCCGTACATGTAGGCTTGAAAGTTTCCAAGGTTGATGCTAAAGCCAACCTCAACATCAAGTCTTCGTCGGAATCCATCCCCCCATCGAAGCAAGTGCCAGCGACTTTCTCTGGGGTCAATTCCGAAGAGGCCAGAAGTTCCAAGTAAGGATCTCCCTCCACAGCCTGGGCATGAAAAATACTTGACATGTACCCGTTCCTGATTCCATTCTAAAGTTTGAACAAGGGAACATTAACCCAAGCAGTTTGCTAATTACTTTCAAGCAACACATGGATCCATGTGTTCTTGCGACGGTGAATCTTCGTGTTTGACATCCCCACAAGTGTTTAGATACGGGCTGGGAAGGGTCTCTGCTTCTGCCACTGCCGTCTTCGCTTCCTCCACTTTGGCGGAAAGCTCCTGGAAGGGCAATGTTGCATTTTCATAGCCTACGACAAACACACTCAAGCACTTCCTGAAGCATCGGGAACAAATTAACCCACCATTGTCAACACAATCCTTCACATATTGACGAAGAACTGCTGGGTCAGAAGGCATGCTCATGGTTTGTTCCACCACGCTCAAAGCATCTTCCAAAGTAGAACAACTCCACATCCGACTCCGAAGTGGTTCCGCAACACGCTCCATCAGATGTGTTTTAGTTGGCAGCTTGAGCAAACTGTATCGAGCTAAGAAGTTAGCTCATACAATGGAGAAAAAAGCATCAGCAACAATCAAAACATAACAAAACATGATAACCCAGCATTCCAAACATGTAGTGTTCATGACACAACTTGTGCGTCGTTTTATGCTGCTTTCGCGTCGTTTTTTGCTGCTTTCCGCGTTGTGTTTTTAGTCGCGATGTTGAGGGCTGCGTTGTGTTTTTGGTCGAGGTGTCATATTTTTGGTCGTTGGCGTTGTGTTTTTAGTCGTTGCGTTGTGTTTTTGGGTTTCTTGCGTCGCAAAGTGTTCAAAACTTGTTAAAACTTGGTAAAACTGTATCATGATGGTCATAGTAGCGGATAAACTGTGTAAACCTTCATGATTCTGGTGAAAAGACATGTGCAAACCCCATTCGACAAGAAGAACTGGTGGATCTCTAGCAAAGTCTATGGCAAAGTCTTTGAGATACAGCTGGCTTGGTAAACACAGAAGTTCTTAGCCCAGAGTGCTACCATGCAGGACCGGGAACCACATGAACTCCAAATATAGCTAGACAGAAGAACATTGACAACATGGTTCCTCGTTGAAACCCAGAAGGTAGATATTTTGGCTGGAAGGCAGTGCCTAGGCTCCATATAGCGCTCAGAAACGCTTTGGGAGAATCAGCTTGAATTATATTGAATTATGGAAGCCCCCACTTACCATTCAAAAGTGCTTTGGTAGCACCGGCCTCCACTCTACAGGGATCCGTAAGCTAGTGGAACCGTACAGGTAGTGGATTAGAGGTCGGAGCTGTACATCCTCCCAATCATCCCAAGGCCAGCTCTCAAAGAGCTTGATAGAGTCCACATCATCATCATGAGAGACATACTCGCAGCGAGGTTTGAGGAGCTGCAAGAGGGATGCGATCTTCTTTCCAAAGCCTTTGGGATAGTGCCTTAACGCAACCATTGAAGGGATGCCCATTTACCCTCTAAAGGGACCACCTCAACCAAGCTACTCCTGTGCTCAACAAGAACTGGGTACCCGGCTCCGTTTTGGTCAAGTCCGCTGTTCCATGATATCGAGGCTTGCCCTCGGAGTCTTTGTACTTCTTCACAGGCTGGGGTGGGTTGGGATCGAGCGCGCGAGCTTGCTCCACTTTCACTCGTTGTAGCCTCCTAGTCCAGAATTGGCCAACTGCCCGACTTGAAGACCATAGAACCGTCCTCTTTGGAGTTCTTGCACCGTACCACCACATCCAAAACCCACAGCGATATATCTGACCAGGGTGAGCGATGAAGAACACATGTACCCCCCACTCCTGCTGAACCCAGCAAATTCAAACGTTCGGGCACCAAACATAGGGCCCAGATTGGACCCATACACTGCAAAACCCAACATATTTCTTGAGACTTGGGGGGTCATCAACAGAAGTACACACATTATCCAATAAGTCTGGCCTCAAAGGAAGCATGAAGACATTGCATCCTTGGGTGGTGCATGATGAGTGAGGAAATCGGCTGCTCTATGACAAATGTCCCATTGAGCGCAACCGTTAAAAGGCAGAGAAGGGCCAGTCTGTCAGGGTTCTGTTTGAGGAACATCTCATTCAACACGTTTTGTTCCAGCCGCTTTCAAACTGCCGCTGTACCAACTACTTTTTGTTGACCACATAATTGATCCCAACAACCGCCTTGCAGTCATAAGGTTGGCACGTCGGTTTGATTCTGAATCCACCCCCAAGGGGTTGGATTTGCTACGCCCAGTGGACCCTCTACTCGTTCCAATCCATGTTGAGCACTGGATGCCCATCCAGTGCACAAATCCATCAGCATCGCCTTTGAGAACTGCCACAAGAGCAGCCCTTAGCTAACAACAGAACCCCACTGCTAGATTCTTAGATCACTAGTTGTGGGATGGTAGACCACCAAATCTGAAGAATCACCTGACAATTGAAAAGATAGAAGAGCACGGTTGTTTCATCAAAGGCTCCCCATTCCAGAGTTGGAGTTTATGTCCAGCGTTTCTGAATATTTGAGATCCAAAGCAACTGCCATCCGCTGGGGGAAGGTTGACTGCACAGATCGGGTGGCTTCAGCATTCCCAGCAAACGATTCTATGAAGAACAGCTCCTGGAGCATTATGGGTCCCCCAAAATCTTGTTGTTATGAAGCCAAACTTACATTCAACCTCTCATTTAATCATTTAATCAACTTGCAAAAAGCTCCTGGCTATGATCAATCGATGTGTTCCATAAGAGCAGCAGGCAGGCGAATGCCAGCACCTTGGATCCGGTCCTATAGAAAAAGCAACGTTCCTCCACAAGACTTTGCAATCCCAAGACCAACCAAGGCACTTTGGGGGCCTTTAGTTTATAGAGTCGTTGAACCACTTGGCCAGCAGTCCACGCCATTGCCACGTGAAATCACGTGAAACAAAAAAGCTGGAAAGACAGCATTGGAGTTGCACCTTTTTGTTTTATTACTGTGTGTGTATTCAGTAAATGTCCATGACTTGTCATGCCTTCCATTGTTCAGCCCTTCCCAGCTGCAAAAGCAAAGGTTGGAAAGTGCAGTGTGATGCAGTGTGTAATATGAAGCACGTGACTGCCGTTGCTTCCATGACTTGGTAGCGGAGCTCGAAATCATGCCAGATTGACTTGAACGGGGCTGATCAAGCAACCCCATTTTGGCCTCGCGCTTCTTCCCACGCAAAGCCTTCATCACGCTCATGGCTCCGCAGGCCTCCAAGGCCATGAGCAAGAGGAATGTGTGTAAAATCTTCAAGCGTGCAAGAATTACCCAGTTCAGGAGTCCTCGAGATGCAATGCACGAGGGGTGTTTTTTTCCAAGGAGGCGCGCTGCCCCATGAACTAGGAACTCCATCCAAGTCACCTCTCGCCAGCATTCGCCAGCCACTCGTCCACCAAGGCTGGTTTCCAACAGGGTTTGTTCAACAAAGTTCACACATTCCAGACGAGTACGGCTGTCTAAGAGCTGGCCACCTAACAGCTTGATCAAACATGGTGTCTGAAGAGGCAGGATTTGGGTGGTATGGGCCTTGACGTTCTTGACTCCCAGACGCAAGCTACCCTCAGGGCCTTCACACTCCCCACTGCCAGCAGACAACAATCGCAAAATTCTACTCAATCTGCCCCCTCAGAAGATGGCTTGTCGCCACCAGAGGCTTCCTTCATCTCAGCATTCTGCACGGTCTCAGAAGGAGCCAGAGGATCAGGTTTTGCCCTCCGTCCAGGCTTCTCCTTGGGCGGTGTCTCCACTTTCCTGAGTTGTTGCGGCAAGAACCGGAATCGATGTGAACTTGTGTTGTTCATTGGAACTTAGTTGAACACATGTCCAAAAATCTTGGGTTCTCACTTCCATTCAGCAAAGAACTTCTCTGTGGCGGCCACAATGTAGGAGAAATCGGAAGGGTCCCTGGACTTGCTGGCTTTCTTCTCCGCCGTGACCATGCCGCAGAACAGGATCTTCAGGGCACACAGATTTGGGTTTTCATCAAACTGTGTGAAACCACTGAAGTTGATACACTAAAAAAAATCATACAGTACAGGGATCAGACAAACAAAAACTGTGGTGCCTGGGCTTTGTTCTTGGCACCCTTTGGCAAGCTTGGCTGAATGCTCTCCTCGAAGGCCATCGTGGTCCTGGCATATTTCTCGAATGCCCATCCCCCCTCTGGGCGGGCTCGGCCCCCAAAGGTGTTGGGAATCTTTCCCTCATCATCGGCTTTCTTGACATCTGCGGGAAGCCCATCAGTCTTGTCCTTCTCCTTCTCAGCAATTCGAGCTGTCTTGGCCTTTGGAGGCCGTGGCTCTGGGGCATTCACATCCTCATTGTTTGCTGCCGCTTTGGTCTTCCTCGGCCTCCGTGGTTGCTTGGCCTTGTCAGCACCATCAGGCTGCAGTGCATCAGCCTCCGGCTGCACCTCGCCTTCGGGCAGCGGGGCACTGGCCTTGGCTTTGGCCTTTGCCTTGCTTTTTGCCTTGGCCTTGGGTTTCCCCTTGGCCTTGGGTTTGCCCTTGGCCTTGGGTCTCCCCTTGGCCTTGGCTTTGGCCTTCCCCTTGGCCTTGCCCTCCGCCCTATTGGCAGCATTGGCCTTCGCCTTTGCTTTGGCCGCGGCTGCCAGTTTGAGCTGGTCTTCTTTGGTAGCCGGAGGCTCCTGTGCATGGCGAAGGTGCACATTAGCACCAAGAAGATAATTGTAAAGAACATGAAAACACACCGTCACAACTGACACTTTAAAGATATCACTCCCAAACCAGTTTTGAAACATCAAGGTCCTTGACGGGGGAGATCAGCTCAGAAGCGGCACCAACTTTGGAGGCTTGCTCGGCCGGAGGTTCGCCGCCACCGCCATCATTCTTGGGCAGGTCCTCTCCGACAGGTTCAACAGGTGGATCCTCACACTTGCGGTGGATAGGTTCCAAAGCATCCATGGTCGGCTCAGCAGCCTGCTCGGGCTCTGAGGAAGCAGCTTTGAAAGCAGAGTCCAAGTTGACGGGCGCAATCTCCTGCTCATCATTGTTGTCCATGTTGACATCCCGCTGTGAAGGCTCAACATCTTGAGACCTGGCCGGCGGAGCGCTAGTGCGATGCAACTTGGGAACCTCTTCTGAGACATCAAGAGGCAAGGTCTCATCGAGACAAATGTTGAACGCTGCTTGCGTGTCTGCCACATCACATTGAAGCAGTGTTTCACCGATGTCAACGCTTGAGCCAGTGCGCTCAAACCTGGGCTCAGAAGTGGCTGCCACATCGCAAGAGGAAGCTCCACAGTTTGAGGGGCCAACCACGTCACATCCTGAAGGCTTTGCAGCAGAAGCAGCCTCGAGCTCTTTGATGCGACCTTTCATTGTCTCAAGAAGCTTCTGGAGCCGATCGTACTTCTCAAAGGCTGTCCCAGACACCGCCGCCGCAGCGAAGTCATGGGAGGCAGACTTGCTCTCGCTTGGGCTGTCCTCAATGTTGATGGTCGGAGGCCTGGAATTGTCCCAATCAGACAGAAGATGAGGGTCCTTTGGCGCTGCAGCCTTTGCCAACACCATGTCCAAAGATTCACGGTCACCACACCCAGAAAAAGGACCTTGCGCTTCAGCAATCTCTTCAGTACCTTCAGTCGCGACGGCCTCACTTTCTTTGGGCTCATGGTCCACATCCATGGGCGTGGGGAAGTCTTCAGTAAACAAGCTGTCAAGATAGCTGGCAGAAAGCAAATCAACGTCGGCTGGGCCAACAGCGTCTTGGTCACTGGCCCTGTTTTGACCAGCATTCTCAACCTGCGCCCCCTCCGACTCCTCCAGCTCTTCATACCCATCAAAGTTGACGGGGGTCTCTGTTTCACCTTCCTCAAGTTGTTGTTGTTGTACACCAGCATCCTGGAAAGGGTGAAAATCAAATCAAGAACTTTGACCATGTGCTTCCAATGACCTTCAGGTCAGAATGCTTAGAAAAGTTAAAATCCAAAGTCTAAAATTTTGACTGCGCTGACTGCGCCGGCCTTCATCCGAGCTATGTACACCTTTTTCAGCAAGTTGAAGGCTTCTTGCAACTCCACATCCTGGGAACGCATTGGAAGCTGAGAACATAAAAACAAAAAGGAGTTGCAAAAGCCTAGAGTCCTAGAGGGCAGGTTTACCATTCAAACCAAAAATGCGTGGCATCTCAGGCGAGGTGCTCGAGTGCACTTGTGTTTGGACAGTGAGGTTCTCAACCGTGACATCATTTTGTGGATGCCCCAGGCGTTGTTGTAGGCCACAACCTTCATGTTGAACTCTGGATTGGCCCTCTGGTACACAGGGTTCTTTTGGTAGAAAGCCACAGTCATCTCGGCAATCACATCTATCGGATCAGCACCACAACGACCACGTCGGCTCATGTCTCTCGCGAGCTCTGTCAAGATAGAAGAGTTTCTGATCATGTTCTCTCTGCTCGGCAAGACTGTTTGGGAATCGGGGTCTTTGTGGTCTATGATCAGCCTTTCACCTTTGCACACACGGTCGATCACTTCTGGCAATCCCTGCCATCCATCAGCCACAGCTTTCGGATCCCCAGACACAGGGCCATCAACAAATTTCTTTGAAGGCATACCCACACAGCGTTTCACAGGGCTAGGCCTAAGACAACTTGAAGGGGCCGGGCTAGATCAAGTAGGCCTAAATGAATTCAATAGTTTTGGGCCAAAGTATTGGTCACAGTCACTGTAGACTCCATGAAGCAAATGGATACATGCCGATCTAAATCATGTCTAAAATCCACAAAGTATTCTGAAGAGTCCCAACCTATCTTTCAATCCACTGCATATGTTCGCTCCTGGCGCACTCTCATCGGCCGGCCTGCAGGTGGATTGTGCCACCCAATGCGCCAGCAGCGGCTGCTGTTGGTCAGTGAAGACCAGCGATTCCGCAATTGGAACGGGTGTGGATGGTGAAAAAGACTTTCCGGGCTGTTTGGGCTAGCTTACTGCAGTCTTTTGAGAACATGATTCGATGATATTCGATGACGGTTGATGAATCTCTTTCTACTTGCCTGCACTTTCCGCTTGACAACTTCATAGCCTAGCGGATGATGCTTCAAATCCAGGCCTTGCAATGGTCCCAGATTAGGCCTTCTCATGAGACCAAAAACTGGTTGGGCTGCGCCGATTTTTAGTCGAGACAAAAAAACATACAGCTCTCCAGGGTCCAGGTATATAATAATATAAGATAATAATAAGAAAAGGCACGCAACTGTTTCCCGGAGCATTCGCCTGAGGTTCACTTGAAAGTCGGAACTCCTCCAGATCTTCCCAGCCTTTCAACCTGTGAGAAAGTAGGTGTATAGATAGAGAAACCTCCCAGGTGGACTCCCTGGAAGAAGGAAAATTGATGAACATAGACCAATCTGTCCCGTATTAAACACCCAAATGGTCCAGTTAGTGCACCGGCGCCACGGACACCGGTGCCTCCATTGTGCCCAAGCCATAAGGATGGCCTTGGGGCGTCGCGGTCATCGCCAACATCCCTCGTCGACATCGTCGACCGACGGACACCGACGGACACCGAATACAAAGGTCGGCTCCATGGATGTGAGCGGCTATGGAAGCTGAACGTATCAACATTCTCCTCCGCATCTAGTGAGAACGTCTTGCTGATGTCTGTTCTTCTAGTACTTCCCAAGGTGTGTAGAGTAAAAAAACGTTGGTCCCTGGGTAGTATATACGGGTCGATATCTGGGTGTGATTGGGTGTGTATCTCGGATCAAAGCATGCCCGACAGCCAAACCGGATGAAGGTTCTGCAAAAGGAAGAATTTCAGGGATTCTTACCCTTAAAAGCTTGCTGCATTCAGTTTATAAAGCTTGGGCAGCCCCAGTCGGCTGCTCCCAGCTCTGCCGTGTCCAGGTCTGCCGCTGCGCA